CCCATCCACCCATTCTCCATTTGCTTTATAAGGCGAGGCTGAGCAGACCATCAGTATGTGAGAGTTGGCAGATAGGATAACAAGATATAGATAAGCGCTATAGTATCAAGACGCATATTTGAGGATACAGAAGAATCAAGTTTCACGATCTGAAGGACAAAACGATCAAGACTCAAGATACAATAAAACATGCAGGTACCAAATTGAGTACGTTTGATGTATGATAATTCTATATCATATGTTGTTAATATGAAACTAACTACAAAAAATTAATCATTTACTCTTCTTTTTTGGGGTATAAAGATGTATCATCATCATCATCAAGGAAAGAATATCCATTCTTCATCAAGAATGTCAATTACACCAGAAAGGCATCTGTTTCTGCAAGGTGGGAATGGTGGAGGTGATTCAGGACTTGTTCTCTCAACCGATGCTAAGCCTAGACTCAAATGGATGCCAGACCTCCATGAACGGTTCATAGAAGCAGTCAACCAACTTGGAGGAGCAGATAGTAAGTGCATTTCTAAAAAGTTGTACAAAGAGATTTGCATTGGCTTACATTTAAGTCCAACTCATCCAAGTGAAACAACATGCGTTACTTTGTCAAGAATTACTTGGATGAAACATAGAAACAAGGAGTGAATGGTGAAAGAAATATGAAGGAAAAATAACTTATTGACTTTTGTTCTATTTTGTTTTACAGAGGCCACTCCAAAATCAGTCTTGAAGCTAATGGGAATTCAAGGGCTTACTTTATACCACTTAAAGAGTCATCTCCAGGTACAACAGACACATGCCAACCAGAGTTCCTTTTCAATGACTGAAACAGGCAGACAAACTAATTTGCTTTTTGGTTGGCAGAAGTACAGGCTCAGTAAGAATCTATATCGACAAACTAATAGCGGTGGAGCAAACAAAGTCGGTAAGAAATCTAAGAATCAATTTTAAGATGTTCTGCAGTAATTAATAGGAAAGGATAATTCATGATAACAAAGATTTGGCTTGTAGATATGGTTGCACCAACAGAAGACGCCATGGGTGAAAGGAATGGGATTCCCCCAAGTAATTCAAGTGTTTGTCCTCAAACAAACAAGTAAGAGAAATCTATTCAATTGTACATTTGTAACTTCTATGAGAACCATACCCTCCAATGTTCATTCTAATGATACACATATCCATTCAGAAATTTGCAGATAAGTGAAGCAATACAGATGCAAATTGAAGTTCAAAGAAGGCTACATGAGCAACTAGAGGTATGATATCAACACAAATAACAATTACATGAGCAACACAATTAACAATTAACTAGAGGTATGATATCAACACAATTAACAATTTCCAATGAGGTTTTCCCCACATCGCCTAAGATGTTACAAATACCCCTCTCGAGGACTCGTCATACACGATGAGGTTTGCCCCACCATCGCGATGGTACAAGGATCGGCTCTGATACCATTTGTAAGTTGTAACACCCCAAAGCCCAAAGCAACAGTCTAACCCAAGAACTTTGAATCCAACCTAAAACCATGGTGGAGTTATTGGTAGCCCACCAATTGAGCCTTACAAGGAGCTCACAAATCCCATTTTCTATCAATGTGAGACGAGTTGTTACAGAAGAGCTGCTCATAGTTCAATTGTTTCTTCAGAGCAATGAACATTCTTTTAATCTGAAACAGGTACAGAGACACTTACAGCTTCGCATAGAAGCACAAGGGAAATACTTACAAGCAGTGCTTGAAAAAGCACAAGAGACTCTCGGAAGGCAAAACTTAGGTACAGTAGGACTGGAGGCTGCAAAGGTTCAACTATCAGAATTGGTTTCCAAGGTATCCAATCACTGCCTAAATTCTGCATTTTCGGGAATGAAAGATGCGTCGACTCAGACAAACCAGCCAACAGATTGTTCAATCGACAGTTGCTTGACTTACTGTGAAGGACAACAAACTGAACAAGAGATAATTGGTTTGACCCTATTAAAGTCAAAGAAAGTTGACAATGATCCAGAAAAAGTATGGTGCGAAGAGACGAAAAGAAACAAGAAATTTCTCTCGGCGAGTGATCTGTCGATGAGTGTTGGAGGGCTCAAGGGTAGTGAATGGAATACCAGTAGAAGCTACAATGAGGAAAGATTTACGGATAGGGGAGAAGTCATTTTAATGAATCAAATCACCCAAAGCAAAACAGATTCAGTGAAACCAGAGAAAGTTGAGATGCCACAGAAGTTTCAGTTGCCTAATTTTGGACAGAAACTGGACCTCAATTCCCATGATGGGAGCGATGCAGCTTCAAGTCGAAAGCAATTCGATTTGAATGGACTCAGTTGGTGATTAGAAGGAGGTTCGATTTTGAGTGAAGAATCATCTTTTCTCAATCATGTATTGCATTTTTCAGAATTTTTGTAGTATGAATAGTTGGAGAAACATGAGATCTTTCATCATGAACATTCAGTTTATAGCAACATGAGTTGCAGGGATTTTTACTTTTGTGGTAATGCTAGGGGAACCGATCACTTCCTGTGTTCAATAACATAATTGAAAACTTGCTTCTGAAACTAATGAATCCTTGTGAACACTTCTAATAACCCACCAAACTTGCATCATCCACAATCGGCAAAGGCTAAGGATCGTGTGAGAATGAGAGTTAAGTTGAGAGGCGCAAGAAGGATCTGGACCCTTATCACCTTTAATCTCAAACCCGCTCATGAATCACACTTGAAATGGATCGATATGGTGCATCTCGGTGGATATAATCCTAATGTGCATCTAAGGGGTTCGCTTCTCACCTTAAATCTCCTTCACACTAAAACCCAACCGGCAAAACCCTTATTTTAGCACCTGTAAATTTGATTGTTTTCTGGTCAATTATAACGTTGAAATGTGATCGATTTCAAGGAATGGATATGTTAAATTTCAACAAGCATGTCCTTCTTCAAACTTCAAACCAAAATCTGATGAGATCTTAAAGTACCACATCACGTTGATCAGGTTTTCGATTGAAGCCTGAAGAAAATTTAACAGACCGAATCGATCACAACTAACGTTATAACTGACCAAAAAATAACTGAAATCGCACGGAATCTGTTGTAATCGAAGAACCCACAAACATTTCTACTGAATAGCGAAGTACTGATCAGATTTCTATATGAAAAACTACAATCGGATCAAAGAACGGCTGAACCTTTCAGCTGAAGCTAAAGGACGTACTAAAATTTATGTTAAGAACCAGCAGATTTCTGGAACAACACCCGGAGATCAAACATACCTGAACCGCAACAATTTACGGTAGAAACAAACCTCTCAGATTCAATTCAAGAAAAATCTCTTTGTGGCCCTAGGCATGGCAAGGAGGCGGGGATGGCCCCCGGTCCCGGTCCCCGGCGGGTACGGCCCGTCGACGCTCAAATCTCTAGCAATCCTCGATCGAAACCGGTCAATTTCTGGTCAAACCCCGTAAATAGTTTTTTTTATTTTGATTCTATCAGGGATCCCCGGTCCTTAGGGGTGTTCAACAAAACTGTTGGACCGTTCAAACCGGCCGAACCAAGTTAAACCGGACTCTTTTTGGCGGTTTGAACGGTCTGGCGGTCCGGTCTGATTTGGAAAAACTGGGCGGTTCGGTGTGCGATTTGGAATTTTTTTTGACCAAACAATATATATATATATATATTAATATTAGCAAGCCCAATTTTTTTAACTGATTGTCTATGACCCAAATATATCCCTAAGCCTAACATTTAACATAATCAAAATCGACGACTAAAACCATTAAACAATTGAACATATCGACACATTTGATATTGACGGTCTCCAAATTTGGAATCCCTCAAGACATCAACCAAGTGATTCATCCAACTTAGATTTAGCTTCTATTTTGTTTGGTCAAGAACTCAAGACTCAAGAATTGAACCATTATTAAAGGTTGTGAAGTCGTGGATTTTGTTACTCAATACTCACAGTAGAGTTGTAACTTTATTAATTTGTTTGTTTTCTAATATGTTACATATTTATTTGTTTATACTTTGGATTGCTTCGACTTTGTATTCAATGGCTGCTTAATTATTACATTTATTTGTTTAGATATTTAGTTTGTTAAAATGGATATTTAATCTAAAATTCTAAATTATATATGTTGTTTAAGTTTAATATTTAAAGTCCATTAAAGGCCCAAACCGCCTAAGCATGTCAGATTAGACCGCCTTTTCGTGGTCTGGTTTGACCGGTCTGGACACTTGATGTCAAACCGCTTGGTTGGAAAATTTTATAAACCGCGGTTACGGTTTGGTTTGTGGTTTGTGGTGTTAAACCATCCAAACCGGACCGCAAACATCCCTACCAGTCCCAGTCCCGGCCCCGGCCCCGTCCCCGGTTTGAGTAACATCCCCCATCATCGGTTTCTGTCTACCAGGGATTCCCAGCCTCGAGATCCGTTTTAGCAAGGAATTCCCGTCCCAGTTCGGGTCGGGTGAACCGGGTTCCCCACCGGGTCAGAGTAAATCACCATCCCTATGTGGCCCAGGTTCAAATGCGGTGAATCTGGGCTATCTACAAAGCAGGTGCCAGGTGGTCATCTTAGATTAGTCGGCTAACATAATTGATTAGATACCAGATTAACAAAAAAACCTCTCAGATTCCCAAAATTTTGAGAACCAATCAGAGGTTGAATCAGGGCCGTTTGTTTACCTCTGAAGTTCGGTAGTTGAATTTTGTTTGGTAAAATAAATGTATGTTTCTTAACGGTCCTCTAAATGATTTTATATTTTAGGTTTTAACCCTTCGGTATTCTAATTTCATTCAGAATAATTATCAAATAATTATACTTTATTTTATATTATATATAAAAGTTTATTGATCATTTTACGTCAAACTATTCAACAACTGTTAAATAGTCCCTTACATTCATCAACATATTGTCGATTAATCCGATTATAATATTAAAAATATTTCATTTATCTGTTATAATATTATTTTATTCTAAATAGTTATTTTAAAGTCTTTTATTGATAGAAATATATTAAATTATATTTATATTCGGAGGAAGAAAGTAATTTTTCTATTTTCTTGGTTTTGGAAAAAAAAAAAACTATTTTTTCTATTTTCGTGGTTTTGGGATATTCTTTTCTTACCAGTTTTATTATAAAATGCTATAGAGCTCGTCGTCTGCAGGTTTGTTTCGGGTTGGAACCAGATCTAACCTATTTTTTCTTATCTAACGAGCCTAATACAATAAACCTAAGTCATTTTTTATGGGTATGGAAACTTGTCCTAACCTGTCCTATAAGCGGTTCGGGTTTGCCAATTGTTTAACGGGACTAAAAATCTTTTTACACTTTTAAGAAAACAAAACTTATATAAAATCACAAGTTATGTTAAATCTAAATTATATTATAAAGCATTTGAGAAAAACTCTTAAAAACAATATTTTATGCATGAAATATTGTATGTTGATGCATGCTACTTAAAATTTAATATTACAAATAAATTGTGCATAAGTACAACTTATTAAAGTTTTATTTTTCAATTTGTGTAACTAACTGCAGATAAACATAATCAAATACATGATAAACATCTAATTTTAAATATAAAAAATTAAAATATAATTAAGATAATTATTGAATTTTAACATAATACTTAATTATCATTCTTATAAAAATTATATTATTAAACAAAAATAAATTACTTTATTATTAAATCTAAATTAAATTATAATAAAAAATTGAATTAAATAAATTACACAGAAAATAGAACTTTTTTAAATAGTTAATATAATACTAAGTTCAAGATAAAAATATTATCGTTTTCTAAAACCACGTAAAACCGTATTATATCGACAGAGAAAATGAATAAAATGCAACATTACAATCGAGATATATCCCGCCGTATTGCGCGAGTATCCTTCTAGTAATTAAAAATAGATGACAATTTTCTGAACTTAAAATTAGACGTAAATGCATAACAATGTACATAATTTATAAAAAAAAACCTCATTCGCAAAATCTGGAGCATCCGTTTATTTAAGTTGCTTATTTTTTAAAAAATTAGATGCTAAAAACCCCGGGTTCCATATCAACACAGTAAAACCTAGACGAAAACAGATAAAGCGTAAACAAGAAAATCGAGAAAAAAAATCAGAGAGAACACGCAAAGAGAGCTACAAACCTATTTGAAATACAATATAAATAAGTAATATGTCGTAGCTCTCTTTCTTGTCCTTCCTTTTTTGCCTTTAAAAAATATATATAAATAAGTAATAACTTATTTTTGTAATATTCTTGTTGTACCTTTTTTATAAACAATAAGAATAGAAGTTTGATGGGCTATAAAAACTAATATTTACACTTTTCGTAACAACAAAACAAGTTCTGGGAACCTACAAATTTATCTCGATTTAAATAAACATAAATTTTCTTAAATACAATTAACATTTTAATCGACCAGATTATATCGAAATACAGTTTGTTAGCCCGTGGACAAGCCCCGACCTATTTATAGGGATGGTAAATGCAATGTGTCTCGAATCCAAAGAGGAATAAAGATCCTCTTGTGCTACCCGAAAAGCAGATGATCGCCTTTGATTAGTCGGCTTGCATAGCGGGTTGGATATATAGGTTAATAAAAAAAGAAGGCAACGTATCAATATCGGGAAAAAAAAGTTTTGCTATATTAGATGCATTATAAAAAAAAGGGTTTAGGCTTGACTCGTGTCTAGCTGAAGCATCATAAATAATATCCAAAGGTCAAAAGTGTCCGGAGATCTCAGGTTCAAATCCAATGAGAAATAAGATCCCCTTTATGGTCACGGAGGTTCAAGTGTGGTAACTTTGTACTACCCACAAAGCAAATGGTCGTCTTGAGATTAGTCGGCTCACATAACGAGTTGAATATCCATGTTAATAAGAATAATTAAACAATTTACGAACAAACGTATAAATTAATTTGTGTAATCAAACAACAATGCTAAATTGTTTATTTTTCTCTAGAAAATAATATAAAACCGCATACCCTACTATTCGTACATACCAAGGTTCATAGATGGATCTAGATTTTTTTTTTTTAAGTGATGATACTATTTGGCTATATGAAACAAATACATGGATATTTACAAAATCAACATTGGTCTGGTCAAGTTCATCGTTTTTCATATGTGGGGTCATGTTTTTAAGTCTTTTATTGTAAGAAAAAAAAAATCTGAAATTAAAAACTAAACACTAAGAAAATGACACTAACACGACTCAAACTCATATTTGAGATGGTAAAAAAGTTTTGCAAACAAACTCTAGCAAAAGAAACTTGTGGCTTCGTTATAGTTTCAAAATATATACGGTAACACGACAAATTGATATGGTAAGTCGGTGACACTTTTCACAACCCTACAATTTTTTACACTACGACGAGGGAACTAAACGGTGACCCGTGCCACACTGTACACACTACACTGGGTCCATCCCTGATAAGGTTTAACTGTGGATTTTGTGGT